TGTATTTCTCTGTCAGATAGTCGAGTATGAAAAGAATTACATCCCTCTCACATCTTTCAAATTCGTGTATATTTGTTTTAAATTGAACAAAATTCATGCCAAAAATACAGGGTCAAAAGGCCCCAAAAGGCCCCGATTTCTAGGGCCCTCTTCGGATTTTTTATATGTGTAGGGCTTTTTGGGGCGTTGCCCCCCCCCCCCCCTGGCCCCTTGATAATGCGTTTATTTTCCTTGCGCTACAACTCGTGTTACTAGATCAATCTGATAAAATAAGCGTATATATGCAATATGTCTCCTCAATGTTGTCATTGGTAGTCGCCCCCGCCCCCTCCCTTAATTTACCTGAGGTACTCTAACAGCCCTCAAGTAGCTCCCAAGAAGTCAGGAATGTCCAGTGACCATTGATAAATATTCTAGACTTCAGTCTTGAGAAGTTTACGATCTGGTCTGGAGAAGCCAGATTTTTTTGAAATCTAAATGGGGACTAATGGAGACTTTTGGGGACTAATGGGGACTAAAAATCATGGGGACTCGGGGTAAAATCGTTGACGTAATTCCCCAAGTCCCCAAAAGTAGTCATTACTCCCCCCCCCCCCCCCCCCCCCCCGCCCCCATGCATTCAGATGAATTTGAAGTGAGCTGTGGTTATTACTTGTGTTTTTTTTTGCGTCCAGGTGATGGGTTAAAACGTAATGGGGAGAATCTGGAAGAGGTACAAATTATTTGGATGTTGATTGTTGGGGCACTGCTGTGAAATGATGCGATAGACGTATTCCTTGCTGATGAGGGAATGCGAACAAATATTGTTGATGGGGATTTCATGCTGCTGAAACACCGCGGGAGAAAGTTGCTGATCGTGAATATTGTAGATACTTTTTAGAAAAATTAAAAACATCTGAATCATCGTCAAATTATCATTTTAGTACAGATCTTATTCTTTCTGTCACAAACACCATTTCCATTTGTCTCGCGATATATAAATTCCGTTAAAATGTATCCAACAGGTTTTTCAGCCAGTCTTTTGTACCTAGTATTATGCTAACATTGAATATTTATGATATTTCTTGTTAAATACAAAAATAACACTAACAAGTGGAGCAGGAACCAAGAGTGCCCATTTTCCCACGGTTTGTCACTTATTGTCAATCTGTCATATACTGTCGTATATTGTCAAATCTTGTCGTATTTTGTCATATATTGTCATATATTGTCATATCATTTTGTAGCATATTGTCCAATCTTGTTGTATATTGTCATATCATTTTGTCGTATATTGTCAAATATTGTCGTTTTTTGTCGAATAAATAGTGTCAAGTATCGCCATGTATCGTCTTATATTGGCATATATTGTCAAATGTTGTCGTTTATTGTCGAATAAATAGTGTCAAGTATTGCCATGTATTGTCATATATTGTCAAATCTTGTCGTATATTATCATGATTTGATTTGAAACTTTTACAAAATAGCAAGTATACAAATGTACAGCAATTCGAACAAACATATAAAATGGGCCGAAATGTATAAATGCTAAAAAGCGTGGGTCAGTGAAACAAGTACAGAGGACAACTTTCAGAACAAGAGTTTTTTGGCCGCCCAAAGTCTCAATAACATCACCTCCACCTAGTAATAAAATTATGAAATGTGAAAAGTTTGAAACAATCAAATAATAATGTATGTATATAATATAATTGTCTCTCAAATACAGATAACGTCCGTTAACTCTTAAAATACCCCTACAAGTACATATTATACTGATCGGTGGTGTCCGAGAAACATGAATTACGTCATCATGGTGTCTTCTTAACCCGGCTACAGACCTTCCCGTTACGGATGTAGTGGTCGAGATGAGTCTGTTCAGCCCTCTTCTTCTTCAGGTCAGTTACCACGTTCTTCCTTGCTGCACGCTCTTCACTGGATCTATCAGGACAGATCCATACATTTTTGTGTGCATCAGCCATCTTCAGTCTCCCTGTTTTCATCAGAATCTGATGAACTGCTGTTGAGCTTGGGACGGTGATCTTGACTGGTCGGATAGCCGTACCTGGCCTCTTCCAGCCGACTCTAGTCGCTTCAAAATGAGGTTTCTCCCCGATCTCCTCCAATAGTGCGGTTACCAGAGCTGGTAGCTGTTCTTCATCCTCTTCTTTCAGACCAAACACTATCAGATTCTTGCTCCTGTCCTCCTCTGCAGCCACACTCTTCATTACATTCTTCAGAATTTTACTGTTGCAGACCGCGCCACTTGTGCTGTTCTTTTGTACAGCTGCACTGTAGCTCTTAATTCCTGTCTCCACCGTTGTTTGTACTGTCTCTTCAACTAACGTCTTAAACAACTGTAGCTGTTCGTCCTTCTGCACTAGCAACTGGTCCTGCAACCTGACCATCTTTTCATTGTCTGCTAGTGCTTCCGTCTTGAGGCACTCAACGATTTCCATCATAGCGCTCATCTGACTACTCTGCCGTCGTACGAGGTCTGCTGCTTGCATAACCCAGTTTGCCATATACCTTTTATAGATAGACGGAGACATGAGTATTTCCTGGTCCATATTTCCACGAATCTCGAAGTTTTCTAATTTCAGTTCTCTTGCCATCGAAGTGAACCATCTTTCAGCACAGCCCTCTACATCTTCCTTTTCTTCGTAGTTGAAATCCATGACAATGGGCACTCTCGGTCACTGGCCCACGTGACAGATCACCGCATCACGTGAACGGTCAGATGTTCGCAGGACATTATTAAAAAACAATTCAAAATGAGAAGTTATTTTTAGCAGCAGAATTCAAGATCCTTTATTATCTTTTTATGTTTCCAGAGTTGAAAATATTTTCTTTAAAATTTGTATGGGGCCCCGGGCAACGGGCCACTCTAACATTTTAGAATAGCCCATTTTTATTTGCACGATAATCTATATCAAATGCTTAATTTTTGAACTTTTTTTCTTGTAAGGCCTGTTCACCCTGATTTATTGTAAAACGTGTTTTCGAGATAAGACCAACAATCTATAACCCATGACCACATTTTTGAGGTGGTCGCAGACTCATTTTTTGAGCATAAGGCTCAAGATGGTATAGGTGCAAAATCGCATTTCACACTTTATTTACTTTGCTGATTTTTGATTTAAGTTTCCAAAACAATTGAGCGACCAAATATTTTGGTCAAATGCCATCTCGAAAATAAGTTTCACAAAAAATTAGGATGAATTAAGGTTATTGCAGTTCTCTTCAATTATATAAATGAGAAAAAGGGACAAAATTCTGGCCATATTAAGGACACTAAACCAACTCCTTAAAATCTCTTATATTAGGAAAGTGCCTGTGGTAGCTAAACAACAATATTCGTTTGTAGCAATGTCCTCTGGATTCGCAACAACGCTTCTTGTGTTAATGATCGCAGTTCAGGCTTGCAGGTGCAGTGCATTGGATAAAGATGACAATTTTGTAGCATGTTTAAAAACCGGCTGGAAAATAATTCCTGATGATAGTCACTTGGCCACCTTCACTACGGCTGGGGCGCACCAATGCTGGCTGTACTGTAAACACATCTTCAAATGCTATGCTCTTTCGTTCGATATCACAAACGGCACTTGTTCTTTATTCACGCAAGATTTCCTTACGAAACAGCAAAAGCGTGAAAGGCTCCTGTACTTTACACTTCTTAAGTACTGCATCGAGAACGTCCAACGAAGTACTCCAGGATTGAGCATTTCAGAGGTAGTATCACTAAGTCAATCCGGAGCAGGATTTCTGATCCGGCAAGACAGAGCAGAGTTAGCTTGTTTGACTAAACGCAAAACACCGTTACAGAACGTAAAGGAGGAAATTTACCATTTGGCTTGGAAAAGTTGCGCAGAAGCTGGCAGATGGGCGCTGAAAACCGTTGAGATCCAAAATGACGCTTTAGAATATTATCAGATAACACCAGTAAAAGGACCGGACTTTTGTTTGGATGTTCATTATAGCGAGAAGAACGAGGTAGTATTTCGAGCTGTATTGGCCAAGTGTCGGGACATTTCAATGACAAACCAGGAGGACCCACAAATAATGTTCTTGACAAATGAATCGTCGATAGTAGACTATGAAAGACACACAATATACTCGGTCTCGTACCAATCTTACATACTCTTCACTAGCAATGGCAATTACGCAGAATCACTTCTTGGGGTAAGCTTTGAGGAGCCTGAACAAACTGGAGCTCAGTCCTGCCCCCTACACCAGTTCTCCGTACCTCACGGAAGAGTTGAAAACAAAGATAACGTCCCTTTATTCCTACCAGGAAACAAGGTGGAGATACAGTGTGACCAGGGTTACGGAGTGACAAGTCTCAACTATACAACAGTGCAGACAGTGACATGTTCGGAGGATGCTAAACCAAGGCTCTGTAAACGTATCAGTCCAAGAGAGGGTGGAGACGGAAAGATAAGAAAGAGAAAGCTCTACTACTTGTTTATGGTAGTGGCTATTGTCAGCACTGTTTCTGCCGGTGTGTTGCTCGTGATGTTATTGAAGATTGGGAAGACGGAGAATAATGGAGTGGAAGAGGAAAATACGCCTCAAAAGGAGAACACAACCGTTAAAATGGAAAGTAAGATTCCGACTTGATACGTCAGTGTAGTAGGGACACGATTGTGGAACATGATTCCGGCTTCTTTTTGCTTTTAATGAAAGTGTAATGTTAAGTTTAATGTTATTTCATATGGGCCAGCGATTGGTTTTTACATGCTAGCATCTTATCGTTATAAGATTTATTAAATAGGAAATAGATTATTGGATTCTGAGCTGCTTTCTGTTGCAAGGTTTATACAACTCTAATACGCTGTTACATGTTGGTTCACTTGAAATACCTTATTCGTAAGTTTCCTGTTTTAAATTTCATCCCTTATTATCTCTTGAATGACCAACATGCTAAGCTGTTATTACACAAGCAGTAAAGAATTGGGACGATTTAAAACAAGGAAAACAAAAAATAGATTCGCCTAGGTTAAAAGCTGAGTCGTACAACTTACCGGGGCTGGAGCTTCGGTTTTCCTCTTTTTAGTAACTGGAGCGGCCTCCTCTTCACTCTCTTCCTCTGATTCTTCATCGCCATCCTCTTCATCATCGTCATCTTCTTCTTCTTCATCATCAGATTCCACTTCTTCGCCTCCTGAGGAATAGATAATTTACACGTGTGAATAGTCTCATATAATATGTCGAACTGGAGTGAACAGCAAAGGCAATATTCGTGTGTAATCGTGTGCAGACAGTGGGTGAATTTACAAACAGGCCACCATCGAAATGCTTTTCAGAGGACAAATTTGTAGGGGGCAGATTTTCAGACCACCCCCCCCCCCTGTCCGGATTTGCAGAAACAACCCCCCCCCCCTCCCCGGGTTTGTTCGAAATTCCAAACCCCCCCCCCCCCCCCCCCCCCCCATTCGCCGGACGTCCTAAATTTTTTTTTTTTTTTTATCTAGACACTTATTTTACTTCGGTGTATTCCAACAGCCACAATGTTACACAAGTGCAACCAGCCAATTACAGGAAGCCGAAGGATCTTTTTGGCCAGTGACGGTTAAGGTAGTGTGTACCATACTTTCTTCGTCCGAGACTTTGCTGCAATGTGCAGCTCCTCATTTAACCCTCACACCCGATTTCTCGAGTATTCGGCTGAGTAGACCGGGGGGCTGCATAGACCACTCATGATCCTTAGCTGAACGTCGACGACGCTCACCCCACGACCAGGCAGTCAGTGGGTTTCGAACTCGCAACCTAACGATTGTAAGACAGGCGTTCTAACCAACTGCGCTACCTGGCCGTTAAAAATAGTAAGGGGAAAAGTGGTCGATTTAAGGGTTCCGTTGGATTTGAATGTTCACAAGGATTTCTCAACGGAATATGGTAGTTAGGACCCCTACGAACATAATTAGACTTGTTGCCAATTTTGTATCTCAACAGAAACACCACTTTTACCACTTTTTACCACCTTTGTACCACTTTTCTGGTTTGCCAAATATCTTTAGTTGTGAACGTCGTAGAAGGCTGAAAATTAACCTAGAATGTTTATCTTATCAAGGAGTAAAACTTTTGTATCAAAAGTTTTTACATCGGACAATCAGCTAATTGGATAATTACCAATTAGTTAATCACCAAAAAAAGTGAAAATTTTTTATTGGCTTAAAATGATTGAAATCGTTTGAAACACGGAGAAATGTAGTTTTTAGAAAAACTTCAAAAATTTTTCACTTAAAATTTTTTTTCGAGACTTGAAAAAAAGTTTGAAAATTTGAAAATATTTTTTTTCCGCCAAAAGTGATCGAATTGCATGAAACGTGGATAAAAATGCCTTGCAGAAAAATTTCGAAGATTTTTAGATTGAGGAATACTAAAATCATCAATATTTGAAGTTGGAGTTCAGTAAATCTCGACATATTTTAGTAATTAGGAATAGCTTAGCGGAAAGGGCTGGACCTGAAAAAGGTTAACCACACAATATTAGAGTTTCGTAACTAATTACAATACAGCTTTATCAAATTCCACATAAAGAAACAGCACAAAAGGACCATTTAAGATCGAACCGATTTTACCTGCTGTACTATCATTTTATTGATTTCAATGATCAAAACCTCTGTCAATCTTGCCAATCTATACCGGGTATCTGAATGTACCGGACCTCTTATTTACCTCTATAATTAGACCCAGTTGTGCAAGAAATGCGATTTCTCACAGGGGTTTCTTTAAACTGTGCACTTTTTATCACTCTCGCAACTCGCAAGAGGCCTGGTATTATAGGGGGGGTATAGGAAGCGAGTGTAAATATACCTTCCATCATCCATTGTGGCTTTTTTGTATTGTGAATGCACATGCCGCTTCGTTTGCTATGCCATATACCTCGAATAACCCCCATATGTCATTGCCAGGGTCGGGATAGAGCTGGAGATAGCATTGAAAAGTTGCTAGAAATAGCTAGATTTAGAGTAAACTGGTGGTAGCTGGGTGGTGCTAGCATGGATGTAGCAGAACGTAGCTACACGGGGTTTCATTGGAGTTGGTTATTTTAATGGCCAAAGAGTGCCGGAACTAAAGTTACTTAAGATTGCAGTTTAGGGGCAGTGTAAACCACGGTGTAGTCAGGGACACAGAGCTACAGTGCAGGAGTACTGCAATAGAACAGTGCAAGTGATACAGTCTGCAAGTGATACAGTCTGCAACAGTAAAACGCCGACGAAGCTAGACTTAGAGTGAACTGATGGAAGCTGGGTGGTGCTAAAATGGAGGTAGCAGAACGTACTACATGATGAAAACAGGAAAACTAAGGCTGGTTGAGACCTAAAAAGATGTGAATCTGTCCTGATAGATCCAGTGAAGAGCGAGTAGCGAAGAGTTTGATCACTAACCTAAAGCTCTAAAGAAGAAGAGGGCTAAAGAGACTCACTTTGATCAATAAATCCGGTACGGCAAGGTCTGTAGCCTTGATAAGAAGATACCATGAAGTAATTCATGCAGAAAAGTCGATTTATATAAAGGGTTTCGTTGGATCGAAAAAGGGTGGGTCAGTCTCTCTGTTTTCATAAGATTCTGATGAAATGCTGTTAAGCTCAGGACGGTGATCTTAATAGGTCGGATAGCTGTATCTGGTTGCTTCCAGCCCACCCTTGTCGCTTGAAAATAAGTTCTCACCCCACCTCTTCCAAAAATACAGTTACCAGAGCAGGAAACTCTTCTTCCTCCTCTTCTTTCAACACAAACACAATCAGGTTCCAGCTACTCTCCTCCTCTGCAGCCACAATCTTATCTGAATCTCCTTCTTCGGAGTTTTACTGTTGCAGACTGTATCACTTGCACTGTTCTTTTGCAGTACTCCTGCACTGTAGCTCTGTGTCCCTGACTACACCGTGGTTTACACTGCCCCTAAACTGCAATCTTAAGTAACTTTAGTTCCGGCACTCTTTGGCCATTAAAATAACCAACTCCAATGAAACCCCGTGTAGCTACGTTCTGCTACATCCATGCTAGCACCACCCAGCTACCACCAGTTTACTCTAAATCTAGCTATTTCTAGCAACTTTTCAATGCTATCTCCAGCTCTATCCCGACCCTGGCAATGACATATGGGGGTTATTCGAGGTATATGGCATAGCAAACGAAGCGGCATGCGCATTCACAATACAAAAAAGCCACAATGGATGATGGAAGGTATATTTACACTCGCTTCCTATACCCCCCTATAATACCAGGCCTCTTGCGAGTTGCGAGAGTGACAAAAAGTGCACAGTTTAAAGAAACCCCTGTGAGAAATCGCATTTCTTGCACAACTGGGTCTAATTATAGAGGTAAATAAGAGGTCCGGTACATTCAGATACCCGGTATAGATTGGCAAGATTGACAGAGGTTTTGATCATTGAAATCAATAAAATGATAGTACAGCAGGTAAAATCGGTTCGATCTTAAATGGTCCTTTTGTGCTGTTTCTTTATGTGGAATTTGATAAAGCTGTATTGTAATTAGTTACGAAAGTCTAATATTGTGTGGTTAACCTTTTTCAGGTCCAGCCCTTTCCGCTAAGCTATTCCTAATTACTAAAATATGTCGAGATTTACTGAACTCCAACTTCAAATATTGATGATTTTAGTATTCCTCAATCTAAAAATCTTCGAAATTTTTCTGCAAGGCATTTTTATCCACGTTTCATGCAATTCGATCACTTTTGGCGGAAAAAAATATTTTCAAATTTTCAAACTTTTTTTCAAGTCTCGAAAAAAAAATTTAAGTGAAAAATTTTTGATGTTTTTCTAAAAACTACATTTCTCCGTGTTTCAAACGATTTCAATCATTTTAAGCCAATAAAAAATTTTCACTTTTTTTGGTGATTAACTAATTGGTAATTATCCAATTAGCTGATTGTCCGATGTAAAAACTTTTGATACAAAAGTTTTACTCCTTGATAAGATAAACATTCTAGGTTAATTTTCAGCCTTCTATGATGTTCACAACTAAAGATATTTGGCAAACCAGAAAGGTGGTACAAAGGTGGTAAAAAGTGGTAAAAGTGGTGTTTCCGTTGAGATACAAAATTGGCAACAAGTCTAATTATGTTCGTAGGGGTCCTAACTACCATATTCCGTTGAGAAATCCTTGTGAACATTCGAATCCAACGGAATGCCACTTTTCCCCTTACTAAAATAGGTGGCCCCTAAAGAGTGTCATCACATGGAAAATTCGTAAGATGAGCCGCGCAAAATGAAAATTTTTGATCGACGAGCGCTGAAAAACGTAGTTTTCACACGAAATATAACCAGCGCGCGACGCAAACTTAAAGTTTAAATTGTGACCGTCAGTACGCATGTGCCTAGGCGGGAAGAATCCGATAGTCATGAAATCAGAGAAAAGTTAACACAAACCGTCTTCATCCTCATCATCTTCGTCATCATCCTCCTCATCGTCGTCATCCTCTTCATCTGTAAATATTCATTACTGAAAACAAAATTTAACTGGGGATGTCCGACCCCAAAAAACCCAACCCTAAAATGGGAATTTTTGAGGTTAAATGGGTTTTTTGGGGTTAGATACCCCCCTTAACTGGACAGAAGAACAAATAGCAAATTAGGATAAACCACCCGAAAGACACAGAACCACTGAATTGTGAGCTCTATGAAAATGTTTCATACCTGATTCTTCTTCATCGTCTGATTCTTCCTCAGCTACCACCGCAGCGGCAGGTGTGTTTATCTCTTCCATTGGCTCATCTTTCTTCTCTACTGCTTCTGCTGGGGCTGCAGGTGCTTCTTCCATTTCTTCGTCTTCTTTGGCTGGTACTTCTTCCTTTGCTTCTTCTACTACCTCTGCGACCTTTGTTTCAGGTTTTGGCGCCTTTTTGGAGGCGGGGCCAGGCTTTGAGCTGGCGATCGCTTCTGAAAATTATATTTTAATTGAAATAACTTCCAAACCGACGGATAATACGTATTAACTATTATATAATATACGTTTACTATTATATATACGTACTTATACGTATATAATTAAGTTTGGATCCCAGAGAAGCGTTTAAAACTGAATGATAATCTTACTTTTGTCTTTCTTCATGAAACTCTTCAGTTTGTTTGCTTGTGCAGCAGCCAGTTCTTCCAACATCTTATCCTCATCTATCTCCTGCAAATACCAAATATAAAGACATGTAATTTGAGGAAATGAAATGACCGTGTGCATGATATTTTAGATCTTCAAATCTATTGTACTTGCTTGGCAAATATTTAATGGACTATCATTCCATGAGATAACAAATGTTGAACTTTTCATGTAACATCAGTTAAAGATAGCTCCACAGTAAAAATGTCTGACGTCCCAAAGCTTACATTTCCGCACAAAAATAACTTATATATAAATTAGTATACATTAATATACTTGGTAATGATCTCACCTCATCATCTGATGATGATTCTTCTTCATCTTCACCACTTTCTTCTTCAGCTTCATTGTCTACCAGCTGGGGCACCTCCATACCTTCACCTTCATCTGTACAGTGATTATACACAACTTTTACATTTGGAGTGCAATATCGTTAATTTGTAAGTTACTTAGATAATAGAGAAAAATGTATCAAAACAGCGACTGGATATCAGAATGTTGTAAATGTTAGACATCAGTCGGGGGGGGGGGGGGGGCATCAGTCGTCTAATTGTAAAAGCTCTTACCGTCACTGTCCATCTCCTCCTCTATTTCTTGGGAGTGTGTTCCTGTCAGGTAGACAGGTCCGTCACCTGATGCTAGACTTAGCTTCACCTGCTAACAACCATAAGTTACATTGTTTTACAACCGAATAACACTTACATTGGGGGGGGGGGGGGGGCCGGGGGCAACCATATTAAAGTATATCAAAATGTAGGATTTTTTCCGATTTTGACCCGGGGATATACTTTAATATACCTACAATATACTTTAATATATCCCTATCTCCTTGGAGGCCTACATCAAAAATTGTTGCCCAAAATAAGCTTGAAATACAATTCTTAATCGATTCCAAAAAGTTCTTGAAAAAATATTGAAAACTGATGAAGTTATTTCAATTTTAATGAAGTCATTTTGGCTAGTATTCCTAACCGAGATATTATGTGCAATTTTCCCAATTTTGTTCATGGAGGTCTTTTTACTTAGTATCCACTATATTCAACAAACACTGAGTTATATCTTTCACATAGAGTTAGTCTCATTAAAAAATATTGAAATTTTATCGAATTTGGGCAAAAGCGAATTTGGGCAAAAGCGTATGCCCAAATATGGGCATATTTTTTAAAGCTCATAGCTCAGCCAATTTTTGACCAATCTGGATGGAAATTCATGTACTAGTCCTAAAACAGGCTTATCTTGAGAATCTGAGCGAAAAATATAGTTCATCATGTAAATCTTAACGAAGAATATAAATCTTCTAATTGTAGGTATATTAAAGTATATTAAAATGTAGGATTTTTTCCGATTTTGACCCGTACCGGGGATATACTTTAATATACTTTAATATGGTTGGCCCCCCCTACATTGGTTGTTAAAGTGGAGGCTACGGTAAAATCCACAAAAAGTAAAGCAACACTAAAAAGCAGCAGGTGATGCCCATATAAGGATAGAAGGATATAAACCTGTTTGAAGCTGAGTGATAGTTTACAGTTGGGTACAGCTGAAGGTATGAGCTGACAGATCATGGTACTGCGCTCCTCTCCGCTTATTAGTCGTGAGGTAGCTTCTACCATACATCGCTCCTTGCAGTTCAGTCCTAACACTATCTGTTATTTATTAGTGTTATGTATGGGTAATATCATTGATTTTGTATTTTTACTTGTGGGCCAAAAGACGTGTAAGAGTTAGGATATTCTTTAATCAGATTTCAAAATCATGATTAGATCAGAATTGGATACCAATTTCTGGATTTAGAAAGAAAGAACGTGTATAGACTTCACACTAAGACAGGTACTTGGCTTGAATCTAATTGTTTTATTTTCATCCTTTTAGTAAATTACTAGCGGGTATAATCGATCACACGTTTTGTCGTTTCAGTAATTGTTGGGGCATGACTATGCCATATATATCAGTAGCATTGACACTCTCGGCCGCACTTGTGTCTGTCTCTAGTACCTGTCGGAACGTACTTGTAGCGGTCATTATTCGGGTTCGATCTGGCTCTCTTATATTACCGAATATATATATAAATAAGAGATTATATATTAAGAGTAAAACAGTTATTAAAATATCACCAACAATTTTTATCAGTTTTTTTGGACAATGTTTGGGCGGCCATGAGCGTGAAATTATTATATCGTGAAACATTCGGTTCGTGAAAAAGGTTGTTCCGTGATAATGATACGATATGTAGGTTATTATAGGGCACGGAGGGCGAATGACACAAATGCGGGTATTCTTCTAACCCTTGTATCAGTTTTAAAGTAGCTTTGCAACACAAAAAGGATATTCCAAACACAGAAAGCTGCACTCGAGTCGCACTCTTCGCCAAATTTACCAGACATTAAGCAATCTTTTGGCAAGTGCTGATACATTTTTCGCTTTTATATGTTGCCACCATAGTTGTTTACGGACGTCCTGGACGAACTTTAAAAAGGTTGCCGAAACTGGGACGAATTTTTTTAACGAAATTGGACGAACATTAACCGAACTTTATTTGCATGCGAAACAAATTGAGCCAGTTTGAAATGTTACTCGAAGGGAGAAATAAACTAAAACAGAAATGACCAGGAAAGCTGGTGTACGTTCACTCCAAAACTTAAAAGCTCTGAACGACCCATTTGCTAGGGAAATACAGCCAATTGGACAGGTGAGCACTAGTGTGGCACTAAGATTCACTAAGATTCACCATATGCTATAGATTTTTTAGATACAATGTAAAGTAGGAGGCCTGTTGCTATAAGTGATGCTCCAGAGGCTCATATTAGGTGCGGTTAAAAAAAAATCGAAATTATGCGGTACCCTACCCGACTATGAAGGTAAATGTGCGGTAAGGTGCGGGTAAATTTATACCAATTATTGCGGCAAATCACCCCGTGCGGGCGAAATTTGTGCCGGGAATTTATAGCGGTTTTCTTTTGCATTTACTCAAGGACCCTTTGGAAATTTAAACGTATACGCCACGCCTCCGCTCTTATCAAAAATAGGGTCTGTTTATTGTGTTACTGAAGGTGTAGTTCTTTACTAAGACCATGATGTACTAATATTGAGATGCAGTTACTCTGGAGAACAGTGGACTTGATCTGGTAGAGATCAGGAGAAGTTATTTTGAAGTCGCCTCTTGATAGTGTCGATCAGATCCCATTGCAGGTATCTTCTGTATCTTGTGTGGTGAGCTTGATGATGGTCACTGGAGAGGCCGACGACCAGGCCCCCTTATTATTAGGGTCTCCAACGTAGATCAGATCATAACACCAATTAGTGACGTATAATTTGTGATGTTGATCACATCAGTAGAATTTAACTGACTGAAATGGGCTAGATACTGGGTTGAGTTCACTGTCAACTCTGTACATCATGGCATTGCATTAAGAAGTACACATGTTCTTTAAGATCTGACCGCTTGACTGGTATATACATATGTGGTGCATTACAAGGGGGAAGCTTCGATTCCAAAAATTGTATTCGAGAGGTGAGGTACTACTAAAAGGTACACGACGTGGTGTCGTACCACATGTGAGAACCACCACCCCCCACCGACGTAAAAGTAAATCGTCTTGACACACCTTTTGATCGCAAACGTGTGCAAGTAAACCGGAAAAAAAATATGTTAGGCTCATAATGTCATAATGATAATTTATGCAAACCTTCACTTGCGATGACTCCACCCAACTTAATGAATTGTGCGAGAAGATGGAACAATCAAAACAAATGCCCCCAAAGATGAGAAATAAAATAAATGGGTTAATGCGTGTTAGGCATTAGGTAAGTTTGCATAAGGTTAGTTAGGAGTTAATTTGTTAAGTGAAATTGAATCATGAGATTGGGAAAATGAGAACATTGTATCAATTGTTAAGGCAACCAAATATATTAGCCAACATATCATGTGGGTATTAGAAATTTTTCTATGAACGTAGTGATCAGCGAGTGTCAGCTTTATTTCGGCGGACGAGCCTCGGTCCCCTCCAAAAGATAATCTTTATTGACAATTATAGTTAAGATAGTAGTACCTTCTGTGTAAAAGAACTAATGGTCAGTCTATAAACAAACATGAAAAGCAGTGTGCTCCTACCCCTTGTCTTAGCTGTTTATCAAAAACACGTGATTCGATCATGTGATGTTATCTAATGGTAAACAGGGTTTATTTGTTTTATTTCGTGTTGTATGGTAAAGTATTAACACAATTAAAACTATAATATTATGGTGAACAGAGTCGGACTTGTGACTCTACTCTGTAAATCTAGCCATTTCTAGGTCAATTAAATTATACTGATGGATCCACATCACTAATCATACGTCACTATTGGTGTCTCATGATCTGATCTCCCGAATAAATGAGGGGGGCCTGGCCGTTCGGTGGCAGCCGGTCACTGTGTGTAGCTGTTCGTTTTTTTAGAATACGGTTCCATGACGTTGTTGATGTGATATAGGTAAAGCAGATTGATGTGGTGAAAGTGTACGAATGATAACTGTACACTTTAATCGAAGTACGGTACCGACGAGGGTTCCATAACGGCCTGGGTTCCACGGTCCCGCGCTCACTCTGCCACGGGCTGGGTCACCGGGCCGTCGACGAGTCCAACTCGGCGCGCGTCTTGGTAGGTTATAAACCTACAAACTGTAGTCAAAAGTGGCAGATGGTGTTTACTGTTAGTATGAACACATAATATTAGTATGAACCTATCGTACAACTGAAGGGCATGTAAGAACGCGACAATGATGGCAGTTATACAGGAATGAGCACATTCTCGTTTAACTGAAATGTGAACTGTCAAAGTAAATATATTAGTATAGTGCCGCGTTACTTGACATGGTAAAAACGATCGTTTAGTGTCAAATTGAACGACTAAAGATTGTAATACACGTGATAGCATAGTTGTTACGGACGTCCTGGACGAACTTTAAAAAGGTGCCGAACTGGACGAATTTTTTAACGAAATAGACGAACTTTAACCGAACTTTAACTTTACTAAGATCACTAAGATCACATATGCTATAGATTATTTAGATAACAATGATAAGTTGTGAGCTGTTGCTATAATTGATGCTTAATTGTAATCTGTGAACCAGCTCTGTTTATATTGAAGTACAAGTCATGATCTGTTGTTGATCTAGTTTTTTTTCAATACAAGTATGTATAATATCTAACTGTATCATTTGTTTACAAGTGTAATAGTGATCGCACCTAAGCCATTCATTATAAAATCAAAACATATGCCAAGAAAATTTACGCAACGAATTTTCACGAATTTTCACGAATTTTTAAAAGGTGCCGAACTGGACGAACTTTTTGCATTTCGTCGACGAACTTAACAACTATGCGTGATAGTGATACATTCATACACGGTTGTATCTTGTTGTATCATACACAAAATGGCCGATGTTCCTCGTGACAAATAGGCGGCAAACTTTTAACCAAGCAAACAGTAGATAGCACAGCTTAATTCCTGTAGATTATGAATATTATTATCAACTTATTTAGTTTGAAGACAAAAAGGTATTTAAAGTTTAAAAAGTTGTGGAATGTGCTAACATTGGATTTAGATTTGTATTTAAAGACTTCGGCTTATTTTGCAACTTTCCAGTATCGTTATCGTTATTGAAATCATTATTATATCTACTGAAGGTTTAATTAAAACCTGTCAGATACACTGAATATTGTTCTGATTTATACTTATAGCACGTGTGATAAAGAGAAATTATGGTTAATTTAGTTTTGAACTGTTTTATCTTTAGTTTCACTTGTTGGTTCTTTTCAGGTATGCAATAGAGAAACACCTACAAGAATCAGAGCCGAACTGGAATACTATTAGTCAACTGTTTATTCGACTGAGCAAACATACGCCTGACTTCACCCAGGTCTTCAAGCTGTGGTCTCAGTACGCCTCCAAGTTAGTAACCAATTAGTTACACTATATTTATCAAGTAACAAGTTAGTTACACTATATTTATCAAGTAACAAGTTAGTTACACTATATTTATCAAGTAATAAGTTAGTTACACTATGTTTATCAAGTAACCAGTTAGTTACACTATATTTATCAAGTAACAAGTTAGTTACACTATATTTATCAAGTAACAAGTTAGTTGCACTATATTAATCAAGTAACAAGTTAGTTACACTATATTCATCAAGTAACAAGTTAGTTACACTAAATTCATCAAGTAACCAGTTAGTTACACTATATTTATCAAGTAACAAGTTAGTTACACTATATTCATCAAGTAACAAGTTAGTTACACTATATTTATCAAGTAACAAGTTAGTTACACTATATTTATCAAGTAACAAGTTAGTTACACTATATTTATCAAGTAACAAGTTAGTTACACTATATTTATCAAGTAACAAGTTAGTTATACTATATTTATCAAGTAACAAGTTAGTTACACTATATTTATCAAGTTACAAGTTAGTTACAATATATTTATCAAGTAACAAGTTAGTTACACTATATTTATCAAGTAACAAGTTAGTTACACTATATTTATCAAGTAACAAGTTAGTTACACTATATTTATCATAACAAGTTAGTTACACTATATTAATTTAGTAATAATTAACCGGTTTCCTGATGCCCACTCCAACCCCTGATGTCTCCAG